TTGATGGGTTTATCAGGAAGTTCCTGGAATAAGCAATAAAGTTATTTGTAATTTTACCTTCCTCAGCAAGAGTTTTCCTGGATTAGTAAATTATATCAGTAAAGACAGTAGAATAGTAGTTACGTGGAAAGGTTTATGTGGATGGTTTTACTTCTCAGGTATTTCTACCTACTAATTTGTGTCATGGGCCTTCTGTGCTCATTAATTCAAGGACACCTGTCCAGCCTGAGTTGCAAGAATGGCTTCCATCACCAGGACTTAAGTGAGGCGAGTGCCTAGGGCACAAAGTTTAAGAAACCCTCACGTACTCTCAGGGTCGTGTCCCTGGTGACCGCCAAGTGACCATGGAACCCTGGAAAGAATAGAGAGAGGAAGAGGAAGGAGATGGAAATGGACATTTGTGGAGCCCTACCATGTATCACTGTCTGCTTTAAGGACCTTTGTCTTCTTATAGGGAAGCAGTAGAATGTGCTGAGCCTGGGAGTAGATGCTGGAGCTGGACATTCTGTGTTCACAGTCCAGCTATGACACATAGCAGCTTGTGACCTTCGGCAAGTTAATATCCCTATGTCTCAGTTTTCTCACCTGTAAAATGGGGATAATGAGAATACCTACTTCAGAGGCTGGTAAAGGTTAAGTTTATACTTGTAGCCCAGCATATGATGAACATTTAACCTTTGTTGTAACAACCATGTAAGCATGTATTCCCATCTTAGAAATGAAGAAAAGGACAATGAGAAGAGAGCTTACCCCCAGCACCACACAGTTTGTGGTGGTGGAATGGGATTGAGTGCTTTCCACTATACCGTGGTACCCATGAATGTTTTGAGTTGGCTTGGATCTGTCCTAATATGGCCACAAGGAAATTCCATCCATCCATCCATCCATCCATCCATCCATCCATCCATCCATCCATCCAGTTAGTCATAGCCCTTCTCTCAAGTTACGGCACCTTCAACCTCCACATCAGAATTGAGTGCACGGAGACTGGGCATTAAACTTCAACTGGAATGTTCTGTGAGCTCTCTGGTTCACCAGGATTCAGTAGTAAATCCAAAAGCAACCTCTACCCTTCCCCAGTTTTGTGGTCGACAGTTTGAACATGCTGGGCACATTCCCACTCAGTGCCTCTTACATACTGTTCTGTTTGCCATCTCTGGAATGCCCTTCCCCCAGATACTCACCTCCTTCAAGTGTTACTCAAATGCCACCTTCTCAGTGAGGTCTTCCCTGACTACTTTTTCTAAAGTTGCTTCTTCCCCATTTCTTACTCCCTGTCTCTGCTTTCTTTTTTTTATTTTTTTCCTTAGCATCACTATTATCAAACATACAACATAATTTACTTATTTACTTTACTTTATGTGTCTCCCCAAATAGAATGTGAACTACACAGGGGAAGGAATTTGTGTACGTTACATTGCCATCAATGTATGGGCACTTAGAATAAACGAATCAACATTGCAGATTATCACGGAGGGAGTTTCACTCATGAAAATTAAAGACTGTTTGCCTGTTTCCATGCCTGGGCATTACCATGCAGTTGTAGGGTTTTAAAGGACATGGTGTTGCTTTGAATTGTAGCATTAATAGCATTCATTAAGGGAATTCTTCATTCCTGACTTTAGGGAAAGGTGCAAAGCTCTGGAAAGTGCAGTCTGGTCACCTTGGCTGCCACTCACAAGGGCTGGGATTTTAAAAAATGTTATGTAAAACTGAAAGTTGAAGAAATGTAAGGCTTTGCACACCAGTGGGCATGATTTTGGAACTTCAATATGCTGTACATGTTAACATGCATAAAGTAATATATAATGTTACACACTAACAAATATATATTTAAAACATCCCCCACCAAAAAAAAAAAAAAAAAGAGTGCTTAAAGTTCTAATCTGAATTGTCATGTTCTTGACTTTATTCTCTACATGGCCGAAAGCTCCCTGATTTTGTTATATAGTACAGCTTGTACCCATTAGACCCATCCAAACCAGGCTCATTTAGATTTTGAACGAGATGTTGCCTGGCACATATTCTGCTACCCATATAATGTGTTCCTAAAAGGTTGTTGTGCCAACTGCTTTGGGCTTGTCTTCTGAAGTGCTGTCCACACTTGACGGTAAGAGAGGTTATGCGCCTTAGACTCTCACTTCCCACCCAGTGTGTGTTTTCCAGAAATCCCTTTTGTGGTCTGTATTCCATTCCAAGTTGTCAGAGTAAATTTGGTGATTCATGTGCGGAGAAAGGCTTATCGTGTAGGTTCTGTTTTGGTCGTGCAGATGAGCTCTCCTTTTGAGAGGCTTCCTAAGCCCGAGACCTTATGCCTCTGAAGTCTCACAGATATTCCGAGCTCTCTGATGTGTGTGATTTTTTTTGAACTTCTTTCTTTCCACAGTTCAACCACACAGGACAAGGAAGCATCTGCAGCCAGGCCATCATGCTCATCACCGATGGGGCGGTGGACACCTATGATACAATCTTCGCAAAATACAATTGGCCAGATCGAAAGGTAAGGTGACGCCGATGCCTGCCTTGCAGTGCAGTCCGTGGACAATCTGACAATTGTCCACAGATAAGTGCCCACATAGATTTAATCTCATCATGACCTATGGTTTCTCAGCCTTGTGTTTTTTGGTTCACCAAAACTGAATACTATGGCTTTCTTTGTTCTCAAAGGGAAACGGTTTTTTTTTTTTTTTTTTTTTTTTTTTTTTTTTTGAGGAGAGAAGAAACCCGTAAAGACATGCTCAACATGTTCAGAGAAAAGATTCGTTGTGAAGTGTGTTTTGTCCTCTTTGGGCAGCGCTTCCTTTGTTTTTGTTTTCCATGGAGCCAGAGTTGCTTGGTGGGTCCAGCATCTATAGAAAGGTGATGTCAGCCACGGTGGCCCTGCGGCCATCTCCTGTATGTCATGTTTCCATAGTTTCTCCCTGAGCCCTCTTTACCACCCAGAAAGCTTCTTTCTGTCTCCCCAGTGCCGCTCCCACCCCTGTCAAAGCTTATTGTCTATTCTGATTTATTCTTTGCTTTCCAAGTTGACATTTATTTATCTGAATGAACCCGTATGTTAGGGTATCAATGACGGATATTAATATTTTTGATGCCTTTTGAGTGCCCTAATTCAGAGGTTCCTCAAGCCATGAGCTGTTCTGAATTCCCTGGGGAGACATTTGAAATATGGATACTTGGACCCTACTCGACACCTATAGCATCAAAATCTCAGGATGAGGCCCAAAAACTCATGTTTTTATTAAATTCCTCAAGTGAACACCAATCTGAAGATAGGCAAATGGTGATCACTGTCTTACCTAAATGGTAGAATGTCAAAATGGTGGAAAAAAAGTTCAGTCAGAGAGGGTGCTAACCTGGGGATATCACAAAGGTGCTTTCCTATCCCACATGCTCATGGCATCACTGTAACCGTCTTTATAGGTGTGTGAGACCATCCAGAACAAGCCCGTCCTGCTTTTTCTATTTTGCATATTTAATTTCGGGGGATTTTAAGTAACCATACACATTTGGCAAAAAGAAACAGAAGACAAACGACAACTGTGCCCTCAGCTGTATCCAGAGAGCATGTACCCTTGAGGGAACGTGAGATGTTGTTTCATATTCCCGTGGACAATCTTGGTCCCCACATGTCTCTGATAACATAAGCATCTCACCTCACCAGGAGTGAGTCTGGTCTTTAAAGATGCATACATTTTGTATGACATGGTCCCCACATGGACACCAACTACTTCCCCTGGTGCTCAACCTTAGAAACAGCCATCATTTCTGAGGCTGGAGAAAAAGCTAGCTGTGCTGGGCTTACTAAGAGAATGTTGGACTCTGGCATGGCACTCACCTAAGGGATATCTAGGAATAACTTCGGCTGAATGCCACTCCCATAGTAAGCACTGACTTTCGAACCCATCCCTGAATTAGATGGATGTTCACTGTTGGACCAGGTAATGTTAGATGCAGTATTTTCAGGTGGTGATTTCCAGGGACAGGTGGAGGCCAGAGTAAATTCCTGGTACATGTATGCGATGTGAGGGGAGGAGCATGCTGGTAGATGTGCATGCCCACAACATGCAGCACAGCGCTGGGGACATGGCCAGTACCTTGTGCACAGCCCTGGGAGGGACTCCACAATACTAGTAAACATGGGTAAGGTCATGGATGTTTTAGTCCAATAGTATGTTTATAGATGCCATGACATTTCACAGCATGTTAAAGGATATTGTGAATTATTTAGAACCGTCTTAAATAAACGAAGGAAGTGAACCGACCTCTTAATAAGCAGCTCCATTAACACCAAATGTGTTATCATACGAGTGTTTGCGCAGACTCACATGACTCCCTCCCGCTTGGTGATTCTTGATGGATAACAGTTGCCCAGGCATATTCATATTTAAACATCCTGGCCTTACTTGCAGGGAGAGACATAGGAAGAGGGCTGCAAAGCCATAATTCTTCAGATAAAACACAAATTTCAACATATCTTTCCAAAGAAACAATATTGACTTTAAGCCAGGTGCTTCCTTGGATTAATTGGAACCAGGATCCTGGAAATTTCAATGTTGCACAAAACAGTTTCATCTAGTTATAAAGTATTATCTAGCAGAAGCAGATTTTCTTTCTGTAGCAAGAGGGTCTTCTCTGTGATTAAAAATTAATAGGAAGATCCCTTTCCTTTCTGCACCATTCTGGAGAGTTCCATTGCAGACATATATATGCGTATACATTCTCTTCTTGATGACTTCTCTGTGAAGGCGCAGGTGAATAAATGTGCATAACACCCCAGTGGGATTTAGCCCTGTGTTAAAGGGAGATGAGGGGCATTGTCTAAGCAGTCATCTTTCTCCATTATTTTGAACATTAGATATTTAGTAGAGGGTTGTGTCATGCGTAGTTGGTAATCTTCTAGATTATAGAAACAGGAAATGGATTCAGGAGAGGGAAAGATGATCAGGAGGCTGGAACCTGATTCCCAGCAGACAGCCTTTCTCAAACTTGAGTAAGCATCAGAATCACCTATCGGGCTTGTTCCAACGATCATTGCTTACCCCATCCCCAGTGTTTCTGATTCAGTGGGGCTGGGTGGGGCCTGAGAATGTGCATTTCTAACAAGTTCCCAGGTGATGCAGATGCTACTGGTGGGGAAATTATACCTGGGGAACTGCTGCCATAAGACATAGTCCAACGAATAGGGGTTGGCTACTCCATGGGCTCTGCCACTTTTGTTAACCTTTACAAGGACCCATTCTTTCAGACAAATCCAGTGCACAGGTATATGTTTCTTGGCCCATACTTTGCTTAAAATATTGCCAATTACTGATCATCATTTAAAAATCTGATTATTGTACATAAAATTTTAAACTTTTCTCATAAAAGGATACAGTTGGCACTTTGGAGCCAACATTGTCATAGAACGAAAAATGGCTGGAGCTGAACAAAGACTGCTTCCTTAGAGGGCAAACACAGCACTCTTTGGCCCTGACCTTCACGACTCTGTCATTTCCTCTAAGCCCACTTCACGCAAATGCTTTACATGCCCCTAGGTATGGAGTTCTGGATTAGCAGGTACTTGCTATTTCACAGGCATGGCCTCTATTACCCAGTCCCTGGGGATTTATTTCTTTCTCTTGGGTCTGCCATAAGCTTTCTCTCTTCTCCTCCAGGACATATTGCCTTGGTCTGTGCCCTAAACTTCAAATGCCCTCAGAATTGTTATTAGGGAAACATAGCTTCATGTCTAGTAATATGATTACTTCTGAACCTATCTTTCATCTTCATTGGTTTGGTGAGTCCTTGAGAGCAGATTCTGTATCTCTGAACAGTCCTACCACCATGCGCCATATCCAACTCTGCCAAGCAAGGCACATGTCATAGACGCCCTACAGTAGTGTCCTGATTTCTGCCCCCTGGTGTTTACACCCTGTATAATCTCCTGACCTGGGGTATGGGTGGGACCTGTGATTTGCTGCCAACAAATAGAATGTGGTAAAGGTGAGGGTATTTTGCAGATGTAATCAAGGTCTCAAGTCAGTTGATTTTGAGCTAATTAAAAGGAATTTTTATCGTTGGTGGGCCTTATTTAATTGAAAAACCCTTAAAAGGTGGACTGAACACTCCCTAAGGGCAGAGCGAGTTTCCTTGCCAGTTTGATGAAGTAAGCTGCTTTTTGGAGAAACCCATGTGACAAGGACCTAAGGGAAGCCTCTAGAATCTGATGGCATCCTGTAGCCAACTGTCAGCAAAAAGCTGGGCCCTCAATCTTATAGCCACAAGGAAACGATCCTTCCAACAATCTGGATGAGCATGGAGGCAGATTCTTCCTTAGTCGGGCCTCCAGATGCAAACACAGCCCAGGAAACACCTTGACTGCAGCTTTGTGAGACCATGAACAGAATACCTAGCTATGCTGTGCCCAGACCTTGGACCCAAAGAAACTGTGAGATAACAAATGTATGTTGATTTAAGTCACCATATTTGTGGTAACTTGTTATACAGCAATGTAAAACTAATAGAAACAAGGAGAAGGGAGAAAGGAAAGACAATCATTTGTCATAGCAGTACTATTATATGAAACATTCCCAAACATAGTAGCTTAAAATAACAATTTATTATTTCTTGCATTTCTGTGGGTTAACCGGTGGTGAGTCTGCTCCATGGTGTCAGGTGGGGTCTCTAACGAAGCCGCATGCTGCCGGGAGCTTGGCTGGGCTGCCTAGGTTCTCCTTGCCATGGTCTCTTTCTCCACGTGGGATCTCATCCAGGGTCATATTGTGAGTCCTTTCTCCTCAGTACAGTAACCAGGACTTCCTTACAGCATGGCAGCTGGGTTCCCAGAATAGGAAAGGAGGTGGAAGTAGGGAGGAGGCCAGGGGAGCACTCATTTGTGTCATTTTTCAAAGCTTTCTACCACCTAACCAGGGCTTTGCTCAAGGCAACTGCTTAATAAATCATTTTAGAATGAGTTGGAAGAAGGCATGTATTAGATGAGTCTACAAAGGCAGCGTCTTGATTGCCTATGCAGTGTGTCCCTTACCAGTATTGGATTTCTGGGAGCAGAAATGAGGAGCTATTTATTCATTTATTGGATGCCACTTACTTTTGCCTAATATCCATTGGTCTGTGGCTTAACAGCAGCTCTTACACACTTGGAATAAAAAATGAACTTCTCAACATGAAAGGGACTCATTCCAGGATCTGCTCAAGAAATAAAGCTGCCTACATTTAAGTTAGAAAACCTGTCATACCCACCATCTATGCAGTTGCTCTTCCAAGTGAACTAAAAAAAAATTTATCATTGCTTCGCCTGATGCATGTGGCAGAGTGGAGAAGTACGAAATGGTAAGTAAGTGATTTAAAGAAAGGGTTGAGATATCACTACTCATGGACCAAATCTGGCTCATTGCCTACTTTGTGTGGCCTAAGCTACGAATTATTTTCACACTTTTGAAAGGGAAAAATAACAAAACAAACAAACAAACAAAGAAAACCAACAACAAGAAAGAATAT